TGTGAGCGGCTTGCCTTTCAAGTGGAACAGCTCTGTCAGGGTGGCGGAAGAAGAGGAAGCCTACGGGGCTCACACCTCTTACTCGGAAGCTCTGCGCCGAGATAAGGTGATAAGCTCCCTTGCCAGTGGATATTACCCAGTTTCGGCCTCCGTGGAGGGGCTCAGGTTGTGTTGTTGATAACCACCAGCATCCAGTCTCTCTCCCTTTCCTTGTCCCTCGCTAATGTCGCACTGTTTGGAAATGTGTCGTGGATAGACTATCAATACACGCATCATTATTTCTGTCTTTCGCTCCTACACGTCTGTGATACCTGCCACCCCAGTAGCTGGCGGTTCTGTAACAGTGTCCAGTATTCACTGCGCCACACTGCTCCTGTCAGCTTCCACAACCGCGCGAGGGCTGGAAATAGTGTTTCCCGTTTGCCTTGCGAAAATGCCTATCAGACATGCCTGGTAGGGCCCATGATGCTGTGTGCTTTTAAAATGATTATGGGTAACACCGTTAAAAGAATTGTTTTATTCAGGTTGAGGTCTACCTTTCTTAGAAACAAATTCTTCCCTGACATTTTAGTTAGTAAATATTCTCAGTTGCGTGAACCACGAGAACAGAACCCTTCAACCTGCTAGGATCCTCACAGACCCTCATCCACTTTGTTAGCCCACAGTATACATTATTGAGTCTAGGTCTCTGCTGCCCCCCGGCTCAGACACATGCCCCTTCCTATTGAAATTTAGTATTAAAATGCCATCATTCAATCACACAATCCATGGCCATCTTCTTGCCACCAGTGTATTGTTAACACCCTGGTGGAGAGTCAGGGCCAGACCTAATCATCTCCAGCAGCTAAGGCACACATAGGGAATGAATTAATATTGACTGAATTCAAGAGAAGAGTTCTTGTCAATCTAGAAAGACAATGTAGGAGAGGCTCTCTTAGGTTGTTCCTGCAGAAGGTTCTAGAGATGACATTGAGCGGGTTATCTGCATAGCCTTGTCCTTCCTGGACATAGTGTCCTGGGGAAATCTACTGAAAGCAAGATCGGAACTCTTAGGAACTGAAAGGTTAGCAGTAAGCAATTGCTGCAGAGGGGCAGAAAAGATCACCAAAACCCACAACCCTAAACCCTAAGTCTTGTGGGTCCAGGTAAGCCCAACAGGGCCAAATGCCCAATGATTAGATGTTATTACTATCTAATGTTAACAGTTTATGGTGGTACTGTCCTTAACAGTCATGACAAAGCCAACCCCAACTGGGGTTCAGTGATTCAGTTGGAGGGAGGTTGTTTAACGGGGAGATGAAGTTCTGTAGGTGATGAGGAGGATGGTTCCAGCAGCAACGTTCTTTATGTAAAACAGGCAAGAACTGATGTTTGTGGTTTGGTTTTGTCCCTATGTCCCAGCCATAGGCCTCTGTCTAGACAAGGAGAGTGGTGGGTTCATCCTCTGTCCTAACCAGAAATGTTCACTCAGAGGCAAAGGCACAATTCTTGTGGGATTCTGCTTTTAAATCGCAATTTTTTTTTCCTCACAAAAACGAGCAATTAGGTTCCCAGAGCCACACAGTTTCAGTAGGGGGCAGTTTGGCAGGGACTCTTCCCCTAAGAAGCTTGTCCTTTTTGTATATTTCTGTGATATCATCTTTATGTCATTTTGTGGTTTTGACATGACCTCTCTCTCACTCCTAGCCCTGGCTGGCCTGGTGCTCACAGTGGGCTAGGTCCTGTTATACCAATCAGTGGTCAGACAATCCCTCATTGTTCTGCCCACAGACCAACCTGATCTAGGCAATCCCTCAGTTTAGGTTTCTCCTTGGCAGATGACTCTAGACTGCATCAAGTTGGAAGTTAAGGCTAAAAATGACAGTAGTGCAGGCGGGTGTTAAAGTCGCAGTGATCCTCCTGCCTCAGTTTCCCAAGTTCTGGGATTATAGACAAGCGCCACCACTTCTGGCTATGAAACTCTTCTTCAGTTGTTCCTGGGTTCTTAATAAAAATTGGCCGGGCGGTGGTGGCGCACGCCTTTAATCCCAGCACTCGGGAGGCAGAGGCAGGCGGATCTCTGTGAGTTCGAGACCAGCCTGGTCTACAGAGCTAGTTCCAGGACAGGCTCCAAAGCCACAGAGAAACCCTGTCTTGAAAAACCAAAAAAAAAAAAAAAAAATGAAGCATTAAATTGTTTACATTGAATTTCCAGTTCTCTGAGTTGCACATTCTGTTTGGTTGGCAAGATATTTTTGTGGATTCCTCCATTAATGGGATTTATAGTAGAAACTTGGTAAATAATTCATTTTGTTTTTGCTCTTGCCTTTTAGAAAAATGGGAACCCAGCAGAGCAGACACGGTGCACAGGCTATTTATTCCATTTTGGAATTTTAACAGTTTGAACGTAATTCACAGAGAAGGAGTTAAAAAGAAATCTTGTAATTGTTGATCACAGTTAGCTCAAATAGCCCTCCCTAAAAGAAAATTAGCTTTTGGAGTGATTCCAAATGGCTTCTTTGTTGCTTGTATTTGCAAAACATTTTTCTGCTGCTATGTCCGTATCTTGGAAAACGCTTAAAGAGTTTGCTAGCTACACGATCAGAATCCATACAAATTGGAAATCAGTGGCTTCTTCTCATCTGTGATTTACTCTGTTCCCATTAAGACTATAACTTTAAAAAAATATGAATCTTAGTTTTCTTTTTTAGTTGGCACAACATTGCAGTTCTAGAAAACAAGCAAGGGAAGGGAACTTGCGGGGCAAAGCAAACATATGGACTTCAAACAAGAAACCCTACATAGAGTTATCAAATAGCCTTAGGGCCAAATGTAGCTAGAATAAGATATCTATCACCTCCCCTCTGTTTAAGGTTTTCGTCGTGAAAGATATCCGACACACAAAAGGAGAGACGGTGGCATGTGAACACCCACACCGTTGTCAGTGTGGGCACTCCCAACCCTCAACCATCTGGCCCATTCTCCTCTCTTCCCTTTTGTGCCTGGTCAGTTATACTGAAGCAAATCCGAAATTATGACTTTGATAAGCTCAACTGGTTTATTTCACATGGTGTCCTTCCATCTTGTAACACTATCATTTTAAAACTTAACGATGAGGTTCTGTATCCAGCTCTATCACCCATTAATATCATAGTTTTTATTTAGTCTGGTACCACAGCGCATAGAATGGTGCTCCCCAAATTCAAGATGAGTCTTGCTGCCTCATTTAAAACCCTGTGGAGGTGTCCTTCAGACACACCGACCAGCACGACTCCTCTGGGATTAGAAATCATATCAAGTCACAGAGGATGACTCAGATATTCTAGTCTGACCTCTGTGCCCTCCCAAGAAGCCCTCCTGTGAGAGAGCTCTTCTTTGAGCCCCAAGATGACTTTCATCTCACTTTTCCCGTCTTTCAGAGGGTATTGTTTGCATTATTGTATTGTATAGTCCTTGGAGACAAGGTGTGACCTGTTTCTACTTAATTCCATATGGGTGTCATAAACAAACCAGGTTGCCCATCACTTACAGTGGTAAAAGCAGGTCTTATTTAGTAACTGTTGACAATAAAGGCAAGATCTGAGTCCATTCTGATTTGTGTGAAGGTGTCATCTTTATCTGCTCGCTGGAAGTTACTAAGTTAGAGCCTGCCCGCCCTCCCTCCTCCACACACACCCACTACACTGGAGACAGATGCCTTGGCCTTCCTTGTTGGTTGAAGTTTAAAGCATGGCTCTTAGGTCCTGGAGAATGATAATTCTGGGTGTGTTTGCTTCTTTGTTTAATAAGGCATTTGTGTATGTGTGTGCGTGCATGTGTATGTGTGTGCACGCGTGTGTGTGTGTGCGTGCCTGTGGATATAGGAGTAAATGTGTTTGGAGGCCACAGGTCACCTTCTACATAAGAAACATTGTCCACCTCCATTGAGATGGGGTCTCTCACTGGCCTAGAACTCGCTAAGTAGGTTTTGCTAGCTGCCCACAGAACTCTGGGGATTTTCCTGTTTCCACCTGGCCAGCATTGGTGTTACAGGAGCTTGTCACCGTGCCTGGCTTTTTAAAGTAAATTCTGGGGATCCAGTTTGGGTCTTCATGCTTGTGTGCCAAGGACTCTGCCTGCTAAGCTGGGGTTTTTTTTTTTTCTCCAATTTTAAGGTACACTCAGGCACAATCCTAAACCCCTTTATAAACAGTCAACATGGATGCTTAGAGAGGCTGTCAGGTGTTGACTAGAACAAAGAACAAATTCTCTGCTCAGCCCTCCAGTTACTCAGGCAAGCATTTTAATGGAGATTGGTGTGTTCAGGTCCTCTCAGCATGGGGCTTTTTTTTTTAGCTAGAAGCCCTGTGGCAGTTGCTAACCTCCTAGTGGTTTGGACAGAGCCTTTCTGTCCTGAGAGCCCCGAAGTTTTCTAGAACCTTGGATGCTGCCTAATGACTGTGCAGGCTCAGTGGATTTGGGTGAACTGACCTTCCTCTAATCCCAAAGAAGACAGGAAGTGGGGATAAGAACCCACCCATTGTCTTCCTGCCCCCATGTCCCCTACCCTACCAACTGTGAATAAGAGATTTAATCACCCTACCACAAATACTTTACTTTCTAAAACAGTGTGATCTGGATCAATCTGCTGTCAAGATGTATTGTAAGATTCTGGCCAATAACTAGATGAGACGTTCTAAGAGGCAGGGTTTCCCACAAAGCAAGAGTGTATTTGCCACTTGCCTTCATCAGGGTTTCCTTCATAGCATTTACCCTATGTTTTATGCATTTACTTGTGTGATAAATTTAATTAACTTCCAGAGGAACTATGCCTTATTTGCCTTCTGTTGAAGTCAGCACCCAACGCGGTGTCTAGAAACTGTGAGATAAGTTCCCAGGTGATTAATTTAATAGTTTGGTATCTTTCCCTGTCTTCCTCTACCACAAACAATGACAGAACAGACATGCTATTTCCTAGGACTGTGGTGAGCAGGTGTTTGCAAGATGTGGGACGTTGTATTTCACAACTGTTCTCTTCATAGGTTCCTTACCTATTCCTACCTCCTGGCCTTCAATGTGTGGCTTCTGCTGGCACCCATCACCCTGTGCTACGACTGGCAAGTGGGCAGTATTCCTCTGGTGGAGACCGTATGGGATGTGAGGAACCTTGCTACCATCCTGCTGGCAGTGGTGATGGCCTTACTGAGCCTGCACTGCATGGCGGCCTTCAAGGTAATCTCTGAGAGCAAATGGACTCTCATGTTGAAAAAAGACCATCTTAGTCATTGCCACTCCTTTCTGTAGTGGGGGTCTGGGTCAAAAATCACATGTTATTTGCTCACAGAACTTTGTAAATTAAGTTTTCCTAATAGGTAATACATATTAAAAAGTTTTTAGCAGGGCTAATAGACCATGCCTGTTTTAATTTTATCATATGTTTATTTAAAAGATTTGTTTTTATTTATGTGTATATGTATGTGTCTCTACGAGGGTATGCCACGTGTGTATAGATGCCTGTGGTGGCCAGAAAAAGGTGTCAGATCCCCTGGAGCTGGAGTTACAGGCAGTTGTGAGCTAGCTGACAGGGTGCTGGGAACCAACAGAATAACATTTTTTCTTAGCCACTGAGCCATATTTCCAGCTCTGTATAATTTCTTTGATTATGTCTAGATACTTTGTAAAAATAAAATTTTCCTCCTGGTATGGGTGGCTAATATTTGAAGGAATTTATTTGATATAATGTCATAATAAATGAAATCTTAATAAATAATATACTTACAAATGTTTAAGGTGTGATTGAGACTCCATATCCACTTCATTATATTAAATTTGATGGTTTCTTCTCCAGTCAGAAAAAAATACAAAACTAAACGAAATTATTGAGCTCAATCATTTAAAGGATAGAAAAGGTAGAAGAAACTAGAAAATTCTGATTGATGGGAAATTGCCACTACCTTGACGAACTACTTCTCACCTGGGTTATTCTCGTCCTCCCAGACTTGGTGAGAAAAATTCACAAGTCTCCTGGCTGGAAGTAACTGATTGAATTGTGGAGAAAAGCAATAACAGCTAGAATTTTTGTTTGTTCAGTGTTTTGAGACTGAGACTCCAGTAGCTCAGGCTGACCTTGAACTCCATTTGTGTGTGCAGATGACCTTCAGCTCTTGATCCCCTGCCTCTGCATTCCTAAATCCTGGGATTACAGGCCAGTGTTAAGTGCCTGGCCGGCAGTTAGGATTTAAGGAGGAGGTTGCGTAAGTGACGAAGCTGCAGATTGCTGCCCCAAAGCCTCTCCCAGTCTTATGATGACAGCTAGGCCATTATATGTGGGTGTGAAACTCTGTGGAGCATGAGACTTGTTTGGGGCAAGTCTGAAAGAATTCTTTCCACGCACGCAGGTTCAGCAGCGGAGGGCAGACATTCACTAGTGGGAGTTATCTCTATATAATTTTTGTTCAAATCATTGGCTGCCACAAAACCAGCCAGGCACAGCAGAGATACCCAGAGATCCACACAGAAACCAAAACCAAAACAAAGAAACAATAGCAACAATTTTAAAATTCTGACCAAAACTCTCAGTATTCTCAAAAAATACAGGACTGGGAGATGACTCAGGTGTCACGGTGCCTTCAGTGAAAGTGTGAAGTCCAGAGCTTGGTTCCAGGGTGGATGTGGCATGCGCCTGTTGTATTGGAGACAGGAGGATCCCTGGGTTTGCTGGCCAGACATTCCAGCCAGTCAGCCAGTGACATATGCTTCCTCTCTCTTTGGCATATTGTGGATTCACGGAACGGCTTCATTGTTAACTTCCTGCAGACTGTCCCTTCCCGTGCACTGGCTGCCCTGTCTTATGTTCCCAGCAGAGAGGTTCTGTAGAGCTAATTCTGTCTCCTGCTTCAGTGTTGGGTCTCCCTCGTTCTCCTCTTTCTCCTCTTTCTTCTCCTCCTCCTCCTCCTCCTCCTCCTCCTCCTCCTCCTCCTCCTCCTTCTCCTCACTGCTGCTCTCCCTCCTTGTCTTTTCTCCTCTCCCCATCTTCCCTTTCCTCCTCCTCTTCCTTCTCATCTGTACTTGTATTCTCCAGGGAGACATTCAAGCTTCTGTGACAGAATGTGGAGAACAGTCTAGAATTTTTCATCGTTGGCTCAAGTTCTTTCTAACAACAAAATTTAAAGTAAAATCATTTTCTTAATAATAAAATTTAAAGTTATTAGTTTGCTCTCACACAGTGAGTTGGTTTCGCTGAAGGTATGTCTGTACTGCAGAGAGGAAGACTAGGCCATCCATGAAGGAATTTACCCCAGGAGACATGTGGGATAAACATGCCCTGGGGCTTCTCTTTATGACTTGTACAAACTTTACAACCTTAGGAAAGCACCCCGTGTTTAGGGAGCTTCTTCCCACTGGGTCTCCTCTTAATAACTTTCTTTCTATGACCACTCCCCTAAAATAGTCCTGTGAGTGATGGGAAATGCTGCCCAGTGGTTTTCAGGAGTGATGAGTTTGATTTTAAGGACTGTAGCCTTGCAGAGTCGCTATAGAAGACAAATTGGGTAAAAAGAGGGCAAGGAAAGGTGATCACCTGACTTGGCTAATGGCCCACAGTGACAAAGATGGGTCATGAAGTAGAGGTCCCACCTTCTGCCCCTCCTCTGAGGATGGGCCTCCGAAGGTTTTCTTTTTCTTTTCTGTCAAAGGTCAGAGGTTTGTGCCTGTCTGTGTTTCTACCCCAATCTCGGGATGGTTTCCTGGAGATGAGGACAAGTCACTGACTGCAGCTCTGAGACCTGGGAAGCAAGCCTCGCCCTTGGGTGCATAGGGAGGGGATGCTGTACCTGGAGCATTGCAGCAGTAGGGGCTTGAGGGGGCCTCCTGTGGGAAGGAAGCCACTGAACCCCCTCCCCTGAAGAGGCAGCTGCCTTCATTCCTGGGACTGCCTTTAGTATCAGTTCCCAGCCTTGCTTTGCTTCTCGCTAGTCCACATCACAATCCTCATCTCTCTACTCCTCCAAGAGTAGGCACCGGGGGTGTGGAGAGTCCCCCCTCACGTCTCTAAGTAGGGTCCCATATTCTCAAGGAGGCAGGACTGGAGGAAGAGCAACTGTTGGAAAGGGTTATCTGTGCCTTGACATCCCCAGTCTCATTAAGAATAGGAATCAGAGCAGTCAAGTGGACATACCCACACCCACAGACAGAGAGACAGACCAAAGAAGGCACACCTTGCTGTTGCTTTTTCCTGTTTTAAAGAACAAGACATCTGAAGCTTTGCCACCCATGTGATCTGCCACAGCTCTATCCTTGAAACAGAAATTAACCAACCCCGCGGCACAAAATTATTCTATTGTAGAGCCATACAGTCGAACTAGACATGACTCCAGATTGCTAGGAATTATTTTGTGTTCTGCTCATTCAGATAATAGGCTATCATATTATTGTGACACATGAATCACCGGGTTATAGAATGCCCCTTACGAAACCTGATGAGATAAACATTGTGTTTCAATACAGTGGATATTAAAATAGCAGTGAGCCTGGAGGATGAAGACGGCATTTAATAGTGAGCGGCCTGTGCCCACGCTGCCTTTCCCTTCCGTTCCCATTCTCCACGCACCGCATTCCCCACTCACTTTCCTTCATCTCACAGACATTCTTCTCACGGGATGACAGGGACTCCGTCTTTCCTAGCTTGCCTCAGGCCTTCTGGGTGGTGCGTTTGGGCACCTTGGCAGTCGAGGCTCCAGACTGTGTTGCCAAGGTCCTGTGTACAAGGTCAGTTCCAAAGCAGGCTCAGCCAGGGCAGCCTTCCAGCCCGTCTCACTAGCTCCTCCTTCTGCCACCTTGTTAACCATGGCCACACTGATCCCAGGCCTCAGTCTTCTACCCCGGTGATCTTTTCTGTTTGCCCTTGACCAGTACTACAGAACTGGACTTTCACCTGTAACCCTTCAGGGTGAGGAGAGACCATTGCGTGGTGGACCATCCTCAGAGACCCGCCGCTGCTCTCCCTCCCGCATTTCACGTCATTGCGCCCTGCATGGTAAAGATGTGGTGTGGCTCCTCTCCTGTGATTCTGATTTCATATGGTAACCACGCTTTAAACTCATGGCCACATACCTCACGTGACGCCCGGTCCTCTGTGCTGGAGGTGTGAGAGGAGCCACCCCAAGTCCTCGGAGGAGGAGGGGCTAGGGTGGATGGGGAGCTCTGCTGCTCACCTGTGTCTGTCCCCTCCCCTCCTGCACCCTGCTGTGAGGTCAGACCAGGGCACCCTGTGCCTTCTCACACGGCCCTCACAGGGGACACCGAATATATCCAACTGTTTGCAGAGTCTGCTCATTGTCATGGTCACTATCATCCTGAAAATGTCAGCACAACTCCAGGAATACAAAAGGGATCCTGTGTATAAACAGCAGAGTCAACACAAAGGAAGCCACTGGCTGCTTCTTATGTCTCTGTCACTCAAGACCAAAGCTTGTCCAAACAGTCAGAATGTATATGAAGGTATTTTTATTTATGCGCGTCAACCCTCTACCTCACCCTTATCCAGTTTCCCTTCATCCCCAGTGACAGGGAACATCTGCCTGCTCACCTGGGCAGATCAGGGGGCAGAGATGGGGCAGGGAGATTAGCCAAGGGCCTCCACCCAGCCACCCCATTTCCTCCAGCTGGACTCTGTCTTCTAAAGCCTCCCAGAATAGCTGGGTTCAAACACCTGAACCTGTGGGTGACAGTCCTAATTCAAATCATAAAACAGACACCACCACAGAAATAGGCAGAGTTTGTGTGTTTAGGTGTTACAGAGGAAATCACTAGTTTAACTGTATAAGAGGGGCATGGTAAAGAAACTGCCAACATGACCTTTCACAGCATGGTTAAGGGAAAGGTTTCTATTGTACATAAGAGAGAGAAAGTATCAAGAGGCATCTGGAAGAGTCCAGAGCAAAGAGAAAAGGAAGCAGACTGGGCATGGCCAGGGCTGTATTTGAGAGAAAGGGGAGAATAGCAGAAGAAAGTATAGTGTGGAGGCGGGGGGGGGGGGGAGAGAGAGAGAGAGAGAGAACAGTGAGAATAGTGTGTATAGTCAGGGTTTAAGGAGAGCAGGATCTAAGGAGAGAAGGGCCAGGATGAGATCACAGGCTTTGTGAGTAGGAGCTGAGGAAGCCAGAGGCCAGCATGGACTTTGGTCTGTAGCCTCAGGTATATATCAATGGAACCATATGTCCCTTCTGCCAGAA